GACGTCTGCCTCCACCAGGAGGCAGCACCCCCCATCCCTGCCGCTGGAGCGGTGCCAGCTCAGGCCACTGAAAACAGGAGGCTTAAACAAGGTCCACAGTCTCTCACAACATGCACAAAAATGTTCAGGATTGAACAGAAAATCACTCGTCTTACCAGGAACCAGGAAGATCTCAAACTAAATGGAGAAGAGACTAAATCAGTAGATGTCCACACCAAGACAGCACAGATGATGGAATTATCTGGCAAAGATGTTAAAGTACCCACAATAAAAGTGCCTCGGTGAGGAAGTACAAACACACAGGAGACAATGAGAAAACAGAAAGCCCTGGCAAAGGAACAGAAGATACGGAGATGAACTAAATAAGATATTTAGAACTTGCTTTAGAAAAGCCACTCAAAAAGAAAAAGAATTTAGAACTGAAACATTCAATGACCAGAATTAAAAGCTCAGTGGATGTTCTCAACAGCAGAATAAAGGGGACAGAGGAAAGAATTGGGAAACCAGAAGATAAAACAGTAGAAATTACTAATCTGAACAACAGCGAGAAAATACACAGAAAAGAAGCTGACAGAGCCTGGTGGACTTGCGGGTCTGTAACAAAAGATCTAACATTTGTGCCACTGGAGTTCGGGAAGGAGGGAGGGGGAAAAGGACAGGGGTATAAAACTATTTGAAGAAATAATGACTAAACGTTTCTCAAATTTGGCATAAATTTGGCATAAATAAATAAATTTACAGATTCAAAATCTGAGTGAATCCCAACCAAGATAAATCTAAAGAAATCTATGTGAAAATGTACCATAATTACACTTCTGAAAACTAAAAGAAAAAAATCTTGAAAGCTGCAAGAGGAGAACTACGCTTCACACACAGAGGGAAAACAAATTGAATGACAGTAGATTTCTCATCCAAAATCATGAAGACCAGAAAGAAGTGGCACAATATTTTTCAAGAGCTGGAGAAAAGAACTGACAAGCCAGAGAAAATACCCTTCAGGAATGAAGGAGAAATCAAGACACTCTCCAATAAAGAAAAACTAAGAATTTGTCAACAACAAACCTGTCTTAAATGAATAGCTAAAGGAAGTTCTTGAAACAGAGAGGAAACAATAAATAAAGGAATCTTGGAAAATCAGGAAGAAAGGGAGAACACAGAAGCAAAAATTGCAACACTGATATTATTCCAAATGTACATGGAGGAAATATTTAAGACAATTATATAGTAAACAGGGAAGGCAAAACGATGTAAAAGGAGGAAAGGTTTCTACACTTTATTCAAACTGGTAAAATGATGAATCTACCAGTAGACCGTAATAAATTATGTGCATATAAAGTAAGGGAGCAACAGCTAAAAATGCTATACAAAAAGATACTCTCAAAAAGACCATACTTACATCAAAATGGAATTCTGAATATTGTTCAAATAACCTACAGAAAAGCAGGGAAAAAAGATAAATGTAAAACAGAGAGAAAAAACAAAACAAAATCTGAAATGACAGAAATTAGCCCTAACGTAGCAATAATTAAATTAATGTAAATGGGGTCTGTATGACAATATAATATAGAGATTGGCTGAATGGGCTAATAAACATGACCCAACTATATTGTGCCCATAAGAAACTCACTTTGAACATAAGGATATAGGCAAATTGAAAGTAAAATGATAGTGGAAAAGAACATATCATATAATTATTAACCAAAAGAAAACAGGAGTGGCTATATTAATTTCAGTCATATAAAATAAGACTTCAAAATAAAACAAACAAACAAAAATGCCAGAGACAGAGACATCATATAATGATAAGAAGGCAATCCACCAAGAAGAGATAGCAACTCTAAATGTGTATGCACCAAACAATAGAGCTACAAAATATATGCAACACAATTTATCTAATAGAGCTGAAAGGGAAAATAGGCAAATACACAATCAGATTTTGAGACTTCAACACCCCTCTCTCAACAATTGATAAATAGAACTAGGCAGAAAATCAGCAAGGATATAGCACTCAAAAACACCATCAACCAACAGGATTTAATTGACATGTATAGAGCATTCCACCCAAGAACATAAAAGTATGCATTCTTTTCAAATACCCACAAAACACATACCCAAATAGACCATATCCTAAGTCATAAAGCAAATCCCATCAAATTTAAAAGAACTTAAATCATACAGAGTATAGTCAAAGATTGCTATAGAATCAAACTAGAAATCAGCAACAGAAAGAAAACAAGAAAATCTCCAAACACTTGGAAACTAAACAACACACTCTAAATAATCCATGGATCAAAGAAGTAGAAAAAGAAAGCAAATAACACACCGAACCAAAAGAAAATGAAAACACAACATCCAAGGATTTGTGGAACGCAGTAATAGCAGTGCTTACGTTAGAAAAGAAGAAAGGTATCAAATGTCCTTTCCTACATCAAGCAACCAGAAAAAGAAATGTGAAATAAACTAAGAGAAAGCAGAAACAGGGAAACGATGGCTATGGTGTGAACGTCTGTGTTCCCTCCAAGATTCGTGTCGCAGTTTAATCCCCAATGCAATAGTGGTAACGGGGGCAGCCTTTAGGAGGTGATGAGGCCATGAGGTCAGAGCCCTCATGAACAAAATTAGTGACCTCATAAAAGGGCTGGAGGGAGCTAGCTAGGCCCTTTGCTGGCCTTCTATTCTTGCGCCAGGTGAGGACACAGCGTTCATCTCCGCCAGAGGGTGCAGCAACAGGCCGACACCGACAAAGCCCAGGCAGGGCCCTCCCCAGACGCTGACCTTGCTGGAACTTTCCCCTCTGACTTCCCAGCCTCCGGAACAGTGAGAAATAAATTTCTGCTTTTCATAAATTACCCAGTCCCAGGTATTTTGTTATAGCAGCCCAAATGGATTAAGATCATAATGAAGAGCAGAAATTAATAAAATTGAAAGCAGAAAAACAATAGGGAAAATCAATGAAACAAAAAAAAGCTGGTTCTTTGAGAAGATCAGTAGAATTGACAAACCTCTAGCAAGACGGATAAAGAAAAAAGAGAGCAAAGACACAAGTTACAAAGATCAGGAAAGAAAGAGGGAATATCACAGATCCTGCAACCATCAAAAGGATAATAAGGAAATATCATAAGTAACTATACACATGTTTGACAATGTAGATAAAATGGACCAATTCCTCCAAAAATAAAAACTACCACAACTTAACCAATATTAAACAGATCATTTGAATAGCCACATAACTATTAAGAAAATTGAATTTCTAATTTTAAAACTCCCAAGAAACGAAGTCTCTGGGCCCAGATGGTGTCCTTGGAGAATTCTACCAAATGTTCAAAGGAAATTAACACCAATTCTACACAATCTCTTCCAGAAAACAGAAGAGGGAGAGAAAACTTCCCAATTCATTTACGGAAGTTAATATCTTGAAACCAAAACCAGACAAGGACGGTACAAAAATAGAAAGGAAAACTTCAAAGTAATATCCTTCATGAATATAGAAACAGAAATTTGTAACAAATAATAGCAATATATAAAACAAAATTAGATATGATGACCAAGTGGGGTTTATTCCAAGGACACAAGGCTTATTCAATATTCAAAAATCAACCAGCATAATCTACCAGATTAAGAGACCTAAGAAGAGAAATTACAAGGTCATGTCAAATAACATAGATAATTTTATATTATAGATGCTAGTTCTTTGTCAGATATGTGGTTTGCAAATATTTTTCAATATAAGTATTTGAAAAAATTCAATACCTATTCATTATAAAAACTCTCAGAAAATCTATCAACTTCCTCAACTTGATAGAGTTTCTTCAAAACAATCTAGAACTAAGATTATGCTTAATGATGAAAGACCAAACGCTTTCACCATTTTTAGTTTTTTACTGTCTAGACCCATGGAAAATCACTGCTTCCCTCCATGCTAAATGTGGAAAAGGAAATTTGTATTTATATTGTGCCACAATCTGGGGGGAGGAGGTGGAGGAAAAATGTCATACCTGGAACACTCAGTACACTAAAACCTTACATGTTAACATACACACACGTATTCATATTTATAGACATGCAAATGTTAATCTAAATGTCAGTTGCACCTTCATTATTTAGGATAAGCAAGCCTAGGCACCCAAATTGTTGAAGAACAGGCGTTCATTCAAAGTAAGAGCCGTCTCATGCTGACCCAAGGTCTGTCTGAGGATGGAACCGACACAGGAAAAGCAGAGCTCAGTGGTGGAGAAAGAGACTTGACTCCTGGCGACATCATTTGGGGTCTGGATCAAGCCGTGTCTGAAGCTACCCTTATCCTTTCTGTTATACGAGCTGATGACAAGCTCCCTGTGTATGTCAGCTGCTTTGCTTTATTTCCTGTCACTTCCCACCAAAAGAGTCCTAAGCGGGCCATTGCCTGCGCTCCTGTCCCCGTAGGTGTGCAAGCCCAGGTGGGATGACCGTCTGTGAGCGGCTGTGACTCTAACAGGAGTCTGGACAACAGATTTCCTCCAAGGTGTTTTCTTGCTGGAGATTACCTTCCACAACCTTTTTGGTGTGGTTTTAGGACTATTTATTACAGAGGTAGAGAGAGTGCTGGAATTTGCCAGAAGGACAAATCACTCCATTGAGCATTTGCTTTACGTAGGCAAGGAAGGTCCAGTTGACACTTGATTGTGGACTGCATATCCCAGGTGACACAGCCACTGCCCGCCTCTCTGACCTCACCTTCTGCCACCCCTCCCCACACTCACTCCCCTGCTGTTCCTTCCTTGAATAGAACAAGCACCTGCCCACCTCAGGGCCTTTGCACGTACTGTTCCCTCTGCCTGAAATGCTCCTCCCCCAGACCCTTCCACGGCTGGTTCCTTCTCACTCAGCCTGGAGGTCGCCTCCTCAGAGAGGCTGTCTCTGACTACAAAACCCAAATTACCCACCTCGACTCCCATGCCCGGCATTTTCTAGTCCACTACCACGTCTTATTTTCTTCATCACATTTTACAGTCTGAAATTACCTTAAATCTCACTTGTTAATTATCAGCCTCTCCCAGGTAGAATATAATCTCTGTGAGAGCCGGGACCTCATCCGTTGTGTTCACAGCCGTGTCCTCAGAGCATACTGGAAGGAAGAAAGGAGGAAGAGAGAAGTGAAGGACAGATGCCAAGAGCTAGGATGGGCCCCTGTTCCCATTGAGGCCTCTCTAGCCTCCTGGGGACCCTCTAAGCCACCTGCAATGGTCCCCAGTGGCATTACACCTCTGGCGGCCACGTAAGCCACCAGCTCACGAAAGCACACTTTATCGCTGTGTCCCTATTTCCCTTCTCGTTTGCCTGCTCTCTCACGGCTCCTGGAATCGCCTACTGAGTGAGGTGGCTGCTTTCAGGGGAAGCTACATTAAGACAGACCCTTACACGGAAGAGTACAAGGACACGCATGACAATGTTCATGACAGCCTTGCTCGGGGTGACATGAGGTGCGAGCTAACCAAGGTGCTGAGAACAAGGGAAACATATTATGAAGGAGTCAGATGCAGTAAAATGCGTGGGCAGAAGGCTGCACGGAAAGACTCCTAACACACAGCCCAGGGAAGGAGTGGGAACGGGAGAGTGAGACACCATCTCTGTAATTAAACACACACGCCCTTAAAAACGGACGTTTCGCATTCCTCCAAGATGCGTACTTCTTCCAGAAAACATTTAAAATATCCCAAAGTGGCTGCCTCTGGGGGTTCAAAGAAAGGGGAGGAGACATGAGAGATAAAGGAAAATATAAACACTGGTGTCAGCGTGCCGCAAGCAGACGGGTGTGATTAAGTCACCTCTGTGCAACTGAGGTCCCAATACAAAACTTACCGTGGTAACTCAGGGTGAACCCTTCCTCTCTCCAGCTAAATGACCCCCACGCGCCTTCCCTATCTCAGCGCCCGGGCCACACTGCCGTGGAGTGGCCTCTGACTGCCCTGACTCAGACACGGCCCCATGCTGTCCCTCAGGTGCCAGGTACCTGCTTCATCACAGCCATGACTGCAATGTCACACTTATTCCCATCGCTTCTTGGTCTGTGTCCGTCTCCCCCACTCCACTGTGCCTCCAGAAGGGCAGCGAATACATTCTCTCTCTTTTTCTCTCCTCCCTTCTCCCCCGCCCCCCAACCCCAGCATCCCAACGTTTCAGCCCGTGGCGCTCTGCAGACCGCTGAGTGCATGGGTAAGCGAAGACATTCCCGAGAAACCCAGTCGCCACGGCCACAGAAATGCACACAAGGGAGTCGTGCAAATCAAACCACACACACAGTCAGAAACTGTGTCCCAGGGCCATGCACACGACACACGCTTCCCACATGGAACTACACATGAAATATGCCCAGAGGACACACGTGGGGATCTGCACCACACAAAGGCCCCAGACACAGCTTCCACTCGCTGTCCACTAACTCCAGCCGGACCCGCCGCCTCCCCGGCCCCCGGAACTTTCCCAGGGGTCCCAGCCTGCACCCCCTCCCTGGGCAGCCAGTACCTCCTCAACTTCCAAAGACAAATTTCATCTTGTCTCCCAGCTGGTTTTTTCTTTTTTAAGAATCTCTTTCCAACTCAGGCCCTTTTCCCAGGTTTCCTCCGGAAGCCCCGCACTCCCCTCCTGAGGACGTGCCCACAAAGCTTCCAGCTTAGCTGGGAAATGAATCGAGCTGCCTCCAGCGCCAGCCACCTCCCCGTCAAAGGCCAGCCTGCAGGTACCCACTGGGCTTCGGTGGGATAAACAGATGAAAGGCAGACGGCTTTGTCATTTCAGAAATGAAAACAAGCAGAGCCGGTAAGGAAGGGAAAATGGATGGAGCTGGTGGCCTTAGAGAAAGGCTCTCACGAAAGCCATGGTCCGGAGAGCCGGAGGCCTCCCTCTCCCAGCCTGGGGAAAAGAGCCCACATGCAGTTATTATATCCGTGATGGAAGATTATAATTACAGGTTTCGTTAGAGCCCACACCCTAAACAGTACGCACTTAGGGGACAGGATCTCATTTGCTACGTCCCCAGTGCCTTGCAGCAGCCAGAAACACAAAGGATGCTCAAGAAATATTTGTATTTGGGGCAATCTGAACTCAGCCAGGACAGACGACTGTAGATGCGCATGCCTTGTCATCAGCATCAAGTAGACGCCAACTACGACCAGGCAAGGGCGTTCAGGTTTATCTTGTTCAATCTCCATAACTTTGTCGTGAAGGCTCAGAGAGGTGTGTTCACTTGCCAGAAGTCACACAACTAGCAAGAGGCAGGTGCAGGATGGGAAAGCAGATTTTTTTTTATTTATTCATTCATTCATTCTTCTAGCTTTCACTGGGCACCTACTATGTGCCAGACTCTGTGTTGGACTTTGGAGGAAAAAATACTAAACAAAAAGAGCATTCCCCTGTGATCTGCATGAGGTGGTCTTTGAGGAATCAGAAATACAGTCGCCCCTCAGTATTAGGTGACCCCTATGATACCAAAATCCACGGATGCTCAGCATCAGTAGCATCAGCATCTACGCCAGTGCCTGGCTCATAGTAGGTGCTCAATTAATATGTACACATCTGTGTGTGTGTGTGTGTGTGTGTGTGTGTGTGCGCGTGCAAATGAATGAAACGGGGTAGGCAGTTGAAAGACTTCTTCTGGTGACTCATCATCCCTGTGAACTAGGAAGTGTGATCATTGACTACAAGGAAGGGAGGAGATGGTGGATAGGAGATGAGGGAGGAAGTGACATTGGTTATGGGGATAGGAAATTAAGGAGCTGAGTGGGAGTTTCTAGGAAACACTGGGGCACAGCTGGGGTTTGGAAACCATGAAATTGTAGCAGCACCAACTTAAGAGCTTTGCTGGGACTTTTCTCTGACGGCCGATAGAGTGGCGAATAAGGGGCACTTTGGAGGCCCGTGGTCGGCACGTGGCAGGCCGATTGTTGTAATGGCCCAGTTATTCCCGCCTCCCTTTACCCACACACTGTCACCATGTCCTCCCACCATTTTAGGAGTAACCACTGGATTTGCTTTGACCGATGGGTTTGCAACAAACTGGACACACACTGAGGCTTTAAAATGTGCTTGTGCATTTCTCCTTCCTCTCTCACTTCACTGATTCTGCCAGGAGGATGTGTCCGGGCCAGCTAAGGCCGCCCTCGATCAGCCAGCCCCTGGCTGACCCACCAGCTGCCTGCAGAAAAGCAGGTGCGGGGGAAATCAGCCCGGCCAGCCCAGCCCAGCAAAACCGCCCAACTGACTCACGGGTTCATAAGAAACCCTAAATAATGGTTATTGTAAGTCACCACCTTTGGGGTGACCTGTTGTGCAGAATTCTTATGACAATAGATAACTGATATAGGCAACAACAAAAGGAAAGAGAAGTAAAGTAACCGAAGGTATTGGCAAGTAAATGGGGGACTCTGTCTTCCTACCGTATCACTCAAACAAGGCGACCCAAATGCTTAGGAAAGACCGGCCCCAAAAGCACTGGGCTGGTGGAAAACTCCAAGAACGACGACTGGTTCTGGCAGCTTTCCCCAGTTTTTACCCCAAGTCCCCAGGTGTTTGGCTGGTAGGGAGAACAGTTCATGTGGGTTCTGGGCAAGGTGGCACATGAGGAGAGTTGGGACATTATCCCACTTAATCCTGGCAGCAGCCCCAGGTGGTAGATGCCTTGTCCCCATTTTACAGATGGGAAAACCGAGGCTCGGGAGAGTGTAGTGCTTGCCTGGAGCCACACAGCTGGTGGGGGGAAGGCAGGGATGGGTCAGTCTGACTGCAAAGCCCATGCCGCTCCACGGTGCCACACAGCCTCCTGAGAGAGGGTCCGTGGGGCAGGCCACCCCCCGCCCTGGCCCTCCCCACGCCCCCTCCTGCTGCTCAGCCCCCTTCCTCCTTGCCCTAATTGGCCCGCTGAGTGCTCAGCCTGCTAGACCATTCCCCTCTGATTAAAAACTCTTCAGTAGATGGAAAGAAATTTGGCAGTTACCTCTGCACACAGCTTTAAGTGCACATATTGGCCAATCTTTACAGATTTAATTGTCTATAAAATTACTCTATATGCAGTTCTCACGTGGATCTCCGGTGCCGTGTACTCTGCATGCTTCTTAGCTGGCACTCTCTCCCAGGCTGTGGCACAGCCACGGAGTGGGTGTCATGCACTCCAGAGCCAGCTGGGTCAACCCAAAGCTGGGCTACTGGACAGGTGTGTAACTTTGAGAAGGGGACAGACCATCCTAGGCCTCAGTTTTCTCACGTGTGAATGGGTATAATCATGGTAACTTGTCGAAGGTTGGGAATGTTAAATGAAACAATGCAGCTTAAGCTCTTAGTGCTGTCCCTGACACACAGAGAGCGTGGCAGCTACTACTTTGGGATCTTAATCCATGCTTTTCCCTCTCAATTCCCTGGAACATTTTGTCTCCCTTCCCTTATCCCTGCCATATGGTCATGTACCTATTGACGCAGGACAGGTGACTCAGAAGAAGAAGAAATGAGACTCAAGAAATGGGCTTTGAATCTTCAAAACACTGAGTCTTGATGAATTCAAGATATAAAGTTCATACCCTAAGGAACAGATTGGAAAAAGAAGGGATGAAGAGCCAGCATATCAGCTCAGAACCATGCTCTTGCAGGTAAAAGAAAACCCAGCTCAAACTAGCTAAAACAACGACAGGAACTCACTGGTTTGTGTGGCTGACTGGGCCAGGGGAGAGCAGCTTCAGAGGTTGTTGACCCAGGAGATCAAGAACTTCACCCAGGTCGGATGCGGTGGCTCATGCCTGTAATCCTAGCACTCCAGGAGGCCAAGGCGGGTGGATTGCTCAAGGTCAGGAGTTCAAAACCAGCCTGAGCAAGAATGAGACCCTGTCTCTACTAAAAATAGAAAGAAATTAATTGGCCAACTAAACATAAAAAAATAAATAAATAAATACAAATTAAAAAAAGAAGAAGAACTTCACCCAAAGTCCTACCTGCTTTCAATGAGGGCTGCTCCAAACCATGGTTGGATCCCCCTGTGGAGACAAGATGGCTGCCTGATGCTTCTGGGGGCTCCCTCAAATAAGGAGTGTGGTCTCCAGGTAGCCCCTCCCAGAAACCACCAGCCAACATCATCTCTCATCTCATTGGACCAAAGTGGGTCACATGCCCATCTCTGAGCCAATCAGTGGAGGAATGGGTTGGGCTAACTGGGTAAATCCAATAAGGCCTCATTCGTGGCTTTGGGTCCCTTCCCCTCCAATTGCTGAGGGGCTGTAATGGGTAAATAGGGGCTTCTTGGCTGGATGCAAGGTGGCTCAGGCCTATAATCCCAGCATTTTGGGAGGCCGAGGCTGGAGGATTGCTTGAGCCCAGGAGTTTGAGGCCAGCCTGCGCAACATAGCAAGATCCCATCTTTACAAACAATTTTTTTTTTTTAATTACTCAGGTGTGATGTTGCATTCCCATAGTCCCAGCTACTCGGGAGGCTGAGGCAGGAAGATGACCTGAGCCCAGGAGGCCAAGGCTGCAGTGAGCTATGATCTCACCACTGCACTCCAGCCTGGGTGACAGAGCCAGACCCTGCCTCCAAATAAATAAATAAATACTTCTTTAATTGAAGTATTCGAGGTATGACGTTCATGCCACAGTGAATAGTCTGGAAAGAGAATAAATGAAGGGCTTCCTAAAAGTTTTCTTATCCATGCTGAATTATTCCTTCTCTGAACAATTTTTATGAATACACTTAATTTATTCAATAATTATTTCTTGAGAAGCCCCTGTGGGGCCTTCACAGTCAAGGCAAATGTGAGAATATATCATCACCTCTTTTAAAATATGACACCCAGAAATTGACACAGCTCTCTAAAAGATCGGGCCAGCACAGAGCACCAGGGGACTGTCACCTCCAATAATGATGATAGCGAACAGTTATTGAAGAATTACTCCCTGCCAGGTACTATGCCACACATTTCATGTATTAGCTCTTTTAACCTCACAACAGCTCTGTGAAAGTAAGCCCTTTTATTATCCCCATTTTACAAATGATGAAACATTGGCACAGAGAGTGGAAGTAACTTGCCCACCATCACACAGCTGTCCAGCGGCAGACTAGGATTTGAGTCCAGGCAGGCCTGTTAAGCTTGTGTGCTATCTTGCCTCTCCTTCTGTGGTGTCATGGAGGTTCACATCAGACATCTGACAGGAGTATTCACTCATTCACCTGGCAAATATTTATTATATGCCAAAAATCCATAAAGGCATTTAAAATTGATTCATTCATTTGTTTCCTCAACAAGTATTTTTTAAATGACTACTTTAGACCAAGCATTGCATTATTTCATGCCCGGGAGCACTGTGGTGAACAATCCTGACCTAGTCCCCGCCCTCCTGAAGTGCACAGCCTGCACTTCCTTACTAGTTGTGCTGAGCACACAGTCAGCTAAAAGCCAGAGGCTGTCATGTACGGTTGCACAGGGTGCACGCTGCACAATGGCACTCAACAGATGGGGTGAGTGAGGGCTGGAATCCACCACCTCACTCCCCCTATAAGATCCTACGCTCTGGCACTGAGCTAAATCTGTGGGAAAAGACACTTCCTGTAGGAAAGTAGTCACCTTTGTGCTAGCAGTGCCCGCCTAGCCAGCAGGGGGCGCTTGCTCTAATTTACACAAAAGCACCCTATGGAGAAACCATGACCCTGTAAAAGCTGCTTGCACTGGTACCACTATCTCACCAGTCAAGGTTCTGGTTTTGTTTGTTGGTTCTGTTTGTTTGTTTCTCTTCTGGAGAAAAGAGCTGCCGCTAAACCATGCCTCTTGGTCCCATTGTCTGTTCGGTGGAGTATGCACCCAAGAATTTGGCCTGCTGTGTTCCATCCCCGAAGAACCAGTGCTCTCATGCAGTCCCGGCTGGTGAACTCCTCTTCATGAGGGTTCACACACATCTTAAGATGTTCATCAAACCCACAGAAGCCTCGCGGGGAACCAGGAACTCGAGACTCTTTGGAGGTAAGAAACGTCTCCCCAGTTAATAGAGTCAAGGGTCCATCAGGCAAGGGAATCCCACCTCTGGCTGCCTCCACTCCGATCCCGGTAGAGTTGGAGCAACAGAGACCCCGTGTTGAGGCTCGGTGCCAGCACTTCCCGGGGACCCGTGGCAGATGCTGTCAGCCCGCCATCTGCACGCCCTCGGCACCCCCTACCACTTCCACGCACACCAGCCCCGATGAGCACTCGTGCCCGACAGTGCCCCCGCACCTCCTTGCTGGAGGCCTGACTTCAGCCTGCTGGAACCTTCCGCCTGTGCGTGTGCAGAGCCAGAAGTGGCCAGGAAGCCACATGGAAGCCCTCAACCAATGGGTGCAGGGGAACCAATACACTGGCTGCCTGTCCCCAGGATTGGGACAGTGAGGAGGTGTCACCTGCACTGAGTCCGGCTCCCCTGTGAGACCTCACTGGATACCCTTCCCTTCCCCGTGTCACTTCTTCACTGGCCTATTGATCTTCCCTGGGAGTGCTTCCTAATAAAAATCTTGCACACCAAATTTCATCTAAGGGTCTGATTGAGAGGAATCCAATCTAGAACGGGACCCAAAGGAAGCTGGCCAAGCCACGTGTGCCGAGTATCCCCCTCCCGGGCTCCTTTCTAAGCCGCCTCTGTAATTCCAGGAGACGGATGCCAAGTACCTCTTGGGGCCAGGCCTGGGCCATTGAACCCAATCCACTGGCTCCCTCCGGCATCCATCTCTCACATTTTTTCCCAGACCTCCATGAAAAATGATTTGCAAAGTCCTCTCTCCCTATCTCGCTCTCTCTCTTTCTCTCTCTCTCTCTCTCCCTCTCTCTCTCCTCTTTCTCGCCCTGTCTCTGGTTAAACTTGGGCAATAGTGTTCAAGGACTGCACGAGATGTTTCTCTAACCGACAGGTTTATGGGGCAATAGCTGCTGATGTTATATGTGTCCTCAGATAGGCAGGTCTTTTTATACTGTGTGTGTCCCCATAAAAATGATTGGTTTTAAGTTGTTATTCTAATATTGCTGTGATTGTAACATTGGAGCCGACAGTCTCCGAACGAGATGAGTATCAGAGTCTGATGAATAGACACGGGAGGTTCCATCGCTCGGCGCGGCAGGAGGACAGGCTAGTGGGCCACCATCCGCTGACAGGCAGGGGCTCAAAGCCTGTTGTTTTCATGTCATTATAAAGATCATGATTAATAAGTGATAGCATCATAAATACTCAAAACTGCCTCCCAGACTGGAGGCTCACCATGGCCTGAGCAGAGGGGAGAGGGCAGAGCCCACAGAAGCAGAGACAGAAGAACGTGGAGACCCACAGGGAGAGGCAGAGGGGATGGGGGCGGGGGCAGAATAGATTATAAAAGAGCCGGACAGACGCGTGACAGGCAGACAGGCAGCAGCGGGAATTGGGAGATGGCGACAGAGCACGGCACGTGGACAAAACCCACGGCAGGCACACACAGAGACAGAGACCCCATGCTCCCCGGACGCGCAGAGCCAGGGACGCAGGCAGGCATGGGAACAAGGGACAGGCTGACACGCTGAGAGCGAGACGGACACAAAGGGATGCAGGGAAATGGTAAGAGAAAAAAGTGGCAGGCGAGGCAGACAGTCGGACAGACGGATACAACGACAGACCAGGGGCCAGTGACCACAGGCAAAGAGAGGACACGTGAGAAAGGCACACAGAAAGGCAGAGACAGGCAGGCGTTTAAAAGGAGGAGGAGGTGGCAGGGGAGGAGGAAAGAGCCGCTGTGAGCCGCAGAGTCGGGTGGAGGAGCGGGGCTCAGGCACCAGACGGCCTGGTCCCCACCATGGTTCTGCCACTTGCTGGTAGCAGAGTGACCTCAGGGATGTCACTTACCCTTTCTGTGCCTCAGTAAAATGGGACAGCAAGAAGACACAGCACCAGCTTCAGCCCTACACTGGGGGTCCCTAGCATCGCGGCATGGCTCTTGTGACAGGAAGCCCCGGGACAGCCCCGGTAACCCCTGCCACCTGGGGTTCACGCCCTCATGTGGCACTTTAATTTGAGGGAAGACTTAGCCATCGGCTTCTAACCAATGCAGAATGCGGCAAAAATGCTAAGATGCCACTTCTGAGATTGGGTTACGAGCGCCTGTGACTTCCATCTTCCTATCATAGCACTGCTTCCATCCAGATCTGGAGCTCTTGCTCTGGGAGGAGGAATCTGCCGCGTCATGGGTTGTCCTAAGGACAGGTCTGCGTGGCAAGCAGCTGGTGTCTCCCACCAGCCACCAGCAAGGCCCTGAGCCCTGCCAACAGCCATGTGAGCGAGCCTTGTGGCTGCAGCCCAGGCGGACACCTCGACTGCAGCCAGGAGAGGGACCCTCAGCCAGGGGACCCAGTTAAGCCTGAGCACAAACTACACTCATGTTTGTTGTTTTGAGCTCCTATGTTTAGGGATGATTTTCTACACAGCGATTAACACCTGAGACAGATTTCGGTGGCTGGAACCGCCACGACAAATATGTACGAGTGCAGGTGTGCCTTGGAGGCGAAGGCAGAGGCAGGAAGGACGTGAGGGGCGTGTTGGAGAACGGCTACGTCGCCTTGCACAGGTGTGACTGAGGTCTGGACTGGGCGGACACCGAGGCTGAGGGTTCAAAAGGGACAAGGAACGTGTTACTGAGAAAGGATTCTTGTGAGATAGCGACAGAACCTCCGCAACGCTCTCTCCTCCAGACACCTGGAAAGTAGCAAAGGCGCCCGGGGAACTGGGCCCCTGGGTGGCCTTCTCTCCCATTGCCTAGCAAGACGCAAATGAAGTTTCCTGTCGCCCCCTTAACAAATTGCCACAAACACAGTGACTTAACACAACACAAATGTATTACCTGACAGTTCTGGAGGCCGGAAGTTGGATGTGGGTCTCACTGAGCTAAAATCGAGGTATCAACAGGGCTGTGCTCCCTCTGGGGGCCGGAGGGAGGACTTGCTTCCTCCGTGGCCTTGCCTGCCTTCCTGCCCTTCCGTCCGCCGGAGCACGCCTCGGCCAAGCCTGCCATCAGGGGAGGGCATGGATCTTTTCTTAACAACTGTGCCATCCTCGGCAGCCCCTTGGGTGCTGCTCAACCCTTAGCTAGTCTGTCCCACGCCTCATCCTGTGCCCCGAGGAGTCCCTTCCCCCACCAAGCACTCCCCTCCAACAAGGGAGGGGATACAATCTACCGCTAGTCAAACGCTCACCATGTGCCAAGTGACTTATGTACAGTATCTCCTTTAATCCCAACTACCATTCTTGGAAGAAGGCACAATACGTTTTCCACTTTACAGATGAGGAAACTGAAGCTCAGAGAGGTGACATCATTTATGGAAGATGATCCGGGTAGTCTCAGAGCCAGGATTGGAGCCCACAAAAGCTGACTTCAGAGTCTGGGATATTAACCGGCCACACCTGTGCTTCCCCAAACCTACTACATGATTTTAGGATGTAGGACCCTCTCAGGAGCCAGGGTCTATACACTCCGCAGTGGGCAGCTAAGGAGGAGCGTGGGTGGCAGCTGGGGGAGTGTAGGCAAGTTACTCTGTCTCTGCACCTCGGTTTCCTCATCTGTGAAATGGGGATACTAGTGCCTTCCTTACACAAACGCTGTGAAGATTCAAGGTGCCGTATCCCACCACACACTGGGCACAAGGCAAGCTCTCGACAGTGAGTAGCTGGAGTTACTAAAAATAGAATTGGTCATGGGGTGTATGCGCCAAAGGTGGCAAAGGCCCCTTTCCAGGACCACCGTGTCTGTCAACTGCACACTGTGCTCTTCTCCGAAAACTCACAGTTGATCCACAGCCAGAGATGACTGTGTCAACAGTCAACAGCGCTCACTTTCTGAGTACCATAATCTGTTATGTTGACAGAGAAACAGCCTGTAGAGTGTTTCAAGCCCATTTGGCAAATGCAATTAATTTCTTCAGCATTAAATTGTCTTTCTTAATTGTCCATACAGATGCCCAGGCAGAAGGAGGAAGGGACAGAATGACAAGGCTATTAATGTCACATTGCTAGTGATGAGCTGTTCTGGTGGTAGACTCAGAGCTGCAATGGAAACAAGAGTTGTATCTACCAAGGCTCCCCTCGGGCTGAGGAGTTGCCCCAGGGCCCTTGCATGCATGGGTGTGTCCACTGTGGGCCATGCCAAGTGTTCTCTGAGGCTCGTGCTGCATGCACAGGGAGGTGTCTGATTCTAGGGCGGTGGCGTGCTCCTCCGAGCCTCGCATGTTCAAGTTGCAGGTACATTTCCAGCTGAGGCTCTGAGCCAGGCCTGACATCTCACCACCAGGAGGAGTCTTGCTGCCCCAGACTGCAAATCCAATGTGGAGGAGACTTTGACAGCTCACGCCCACATAGCCCCAGCCTCTCCAAACCCCAGCCTGGTGCATGCCCTGTGCTCTGAGCTCCTGCCTGGAGTTCCCTTCTGCCACCTCTGTGACCATTCCATGACCTTCTCAACATATACCCTCAGCCATGTATGGTCACTTGATCCAGCAAGCCTAGCCCAGCCCGTCTGGTGGGACTTGGAGTTAAATTGCTCACCCAGGTCTTAGGGCAAAGCCTCCTTTGGTCTTATATCCAGGCTTCCTACACTATAAATCACACCATGAATGAGAATGCAGTTAAAACCCTAGGGTGCTGCAGGATTCCTCCTTGTCCCTTTGTAGATGGATTATACAAAATTACATGCCATATTCATGGGTTGGAAGATTCAGCATAGTAAAGATGTCAGTTCTCCCCAAATTGATATACAGATTTAACACTATTCTCATCAAAATTTTGGAAGGATACTGGTCACAGGTCATCCTCCTGCTGATGCCTCATGCCACTTTGTGGACTATGCAGGTCATGGTCTGCCTAATTTATGGATTCAGCAATCACCTGGATTCTGCTCCTGCTACGTTCCTCCTACCAGCTTAGCACTCCTAGAACCATGGATCACCAGAATACATCAGAGGTGTTCGTTGCTCCTTTGTGAGATATCAAGATGCATGTGGTGCAGAAAGCATGGTCTTTGCAGCCAAACAGATCTGGGACCACAGGCAAGTCACTTAACCTCTCTGAGACTTAGTTTCCTCGCTTGCAAACTGAAGGGAATGATCCCTATCTTACAGGAAAATGAAAAAAATGAAAGGCGAGTACCTACCACAGTGCCTGGCACAGAATAGGCCCTGAATAAATGTGCTCCATGAAAGAAAGGAAGGAAAGAAGGGAGGGAGGGAGGCAGGGAACGAGCATATACTCAGAATATTCTAGATGCTCAATATTTCCTCCCTCCTACCATACCTCCCATTTTGCACCCAGACAATCCAGCTACTTTTGATAGTTTTCCTGGGTTTTGTCCTCCTGTCCAGTCCTAACTCCACCGCCCCCTTGCCATCAGTCCCTGTCATGAATCACTCTGCAGTCACACACTCCAGCCCTCCTACCTGAGACACAGCTGCTTTGCTGCCACAGAGAAAGTGAGGCACCCAGCCAGATGGCTCCAAACCACGAGGATCCCCTAGACAACCTCACAGATGCAGTTTAAGCTTCACCCCCATAGGCCTTCTTGCCCACCCTGGAAATCTGGGGCAAATCAACGGCATGTGCTTCCCAACACATCCCTTGAGCACTGCCCACCCGAGACACCAGGTGGTAGGAGTAGCTGTTTCTGTTTACAGAGCACCTATTCTGTGCCAGGTTGCAAACTGGTACAACTCAGTCCAGCTCCACAGGTGTGTTTTGCTTGGCCTGAAAGTTATTCAAATATTTTAATAACTTGCCAACATTCAAATATCAGAAAACTGCACATCAGAACCTTTTTTTAACAATCTAAAGACCTGGATCCTCAGTCCCACATAGCCAGGCAGCCACAGCCTCCTCTGACCAGCACGGGCCTCCATTTTGCCAAAGTCTCCACCAAACTGGCCCCTGCAGGCATTTGGGAATAGGATTTCTGATGCAATAATAATAAATTCCTGACATCTATATTATCTGTACATATTAGAAAGGAAGAAATAAAACTGTTCCTATTTGCAGTATCTATGTAGGAAATTCCAAAGAACCTACACACACACACACACACACACACACACACACCACTGCTAGAACTAATATGTGAGTTCAGTGAAGTCACAGGATACAGGATCAACACACAAAGATCGACTGTATTTTTATGTACTAACAATGAACAAGCATAAGCGGAAACTAAAAGCATAATACCATTTACAGTTGCCCAGAAAAATGAAATACATAGAAATAAATCTTGCAAATTCTAGCAACATGGAGGATGAACAGTCCTTTCAGCAAATTATGCTGAAGCCTTTGGACATCTATAGGGAAAAGAATGATAATAAAATTCTCCAAGAGAAAGGATTCTACTCTTTTTTGTTCACAGCTCTATCCTAGGCACCTAGAGCAGTAATGGGCACTTAATAAGTGCTTGATAAACATTTGTTGAATGTTGAATAGCTTTAAAAACTACCACTTTTTAGCACTGTCTGTGTCCCAGGCTCTGTTCTAAGTGCTTGACTCCATTAACTTTAACAACCCAACAGGATGAGTGTTATTATCCCCGTCTGATAGAAGAGAAATTGGAAGCACAGAGGAGCCAGGTAACTTGCCCAGTACCTCACAGCGGTAAGAGGTAGAGCCAATGAAGGTTGTCCACTATCTAATTCAATCCTTCCTTGGGTGGGTACGTGACCCCCTTTCTGCTGATGAAGAAACCCAAGTTCAGAGAGATTGCATGAATTCCCAAGGCCCCACAGCTAGCAGGGTACAGCGACAAAGTTCCATGGAACCTGGCGGAACCCAGGACACCTGCCAGGGCTTCCCAAAGCCTTCGGGGCGCTGTTCTCAGGCTACCTGGTGGGGCCACCTCGCCTCACAGCAAACCCTCCTCTGCCCCTTATTTGCTCAGAGGCTGCTTAGCATATGTGGCTTAAATACCAGGGCTCCCTGCAGGGCGCAGTTCACCGAGCCAGCTCATTTATTCATTAATTTGCTTTCCATATTTCCAAACAGAAAGCGGCCGTTCCAGGCAAGGCGAATCAATACTGTGCTCTACCATCCATCTTCATTCGCGCCACATCCCCGCGCCATCCCGGGCGCTTCTCGCCCAGGCTCCCGGTAATGGGTTCCCGGACGCTGACGAATAGGATTTTCCCAGGCAGCCACACCACGTTAGCAGATTAAATCATTAATATCTGCATCGGTCATTTTTACGAGCCTCCCTTGCCCCCAACTCCTCACCGCCCCGGTGTTGAGTACACTGTTAGTGATGCGGGCAGACACGGTCAGGATGAAATTGCCACTTCTGAGATTTTATTGGTTGCAAACTTCAAGATATCGATTTTCTTCCTTTTTTTCCCCCTGCTTTTGTAAAATGAGGTATACGGCCCAGAGTTGCAGAAAGTATTGAGATGGAGGCTGAATATGGACTTGCTTATTCCACTCGCACCATTTGCCAGAGGGGCTCCTTGTTTTCCTAAAAGAAGAAAAAGGTGGTTTCCTAAAATTTATTTTATAGTTACAGTTTAAAATTGAGCACTTACTATTTGTCAACTAAACACGGTGCAAGCGATACTCACTCAGGCCGCTCAGCAATCCAGAGGTGGGAATTACCATCAGCTCTTTCAATGAGGAAACGAGTTCTGAGATTTCCCCACGATGACAGGGACCTGGAACTCAGATGTGCCTGCCTCCAGAGACTGACCTGAGGCACTACCAACACAGTGCTGCCAGCCCCCACTAGCTCTGAGAGATGGAACAGCAGATGTCAGGTGTTACATACACTGTTTATGTTCCCTGCGGTCCATATTCTAAAGCCCTAATCCCCAGTATCACTATATTTTATTCGTTGCAAGCTTCAAGATACTGATTTTTTTCCTGCTTTTCTAAAATCAGGTATATAGCCCAGAGTTGCAGAAATGATTGGGATTGAAGATTGGTAGGGCCCTTGAGAGATGATTGGGTTTAGATGAGGTCACGAGCGCAGGGAGGGATAGAATTCCATGATGGAATTAGTGTCCCTATAAGAAGAGGAAGAGACCAGAGTGTTCCCTCTCTCCTCTGAGCTAATGTGAGGACACAGCAAGAAGGCAGCCATCTGCAAATCATAAAGAGAGCCCTCACCAGAAAACAGCCACATTGACACTCTGATCTTGGACTTGCTATCCTCCAAAACTGTGAGAGACAGATGTCTGTTGATTAAGCCACCTAGTCCATGGCATTTTATTACAGCAGCCAGAGCAGACTAAGACATCAGAGTCTCACCATTTTCTGGAGCAAGGTCACGGGTCAGCCCAGGGAGCAGGGATGAGTGGGACAAGATACCAGAAACCAGAGCACGGTGTGGATGTACCTATACCTCCTCTGCCCACAGACAATTCCACACAATTCCACAGACCTGAACCTCCTCACCCTCCTAGGCAGGACATAATTGAACATACTTCTTCTTAATATCCAGAAGGTTTAACTTTATCTCTAAAGAAGCAGAAATAAATATTTAAGGCTTTACAGGCCATACAGTCTCTATCACAACTACCCAATTCTGCCACTGTAGCAGAAAAGTGACCACAGACAAGAGGTAAACAAATGAGCATGGCTGTGTCCCAATCAAATATTATTGACAGAAATAGCCAGCAGGTCAGATTTAGTCTGCAGGCCGTGTTCTCCAGTCCGAGAGGATAGAACTTTAGGAGCAAGCTTTAGTAATTTCTGAGCCAGGGATGCTGACTGGTCTTACACTGCTCAGTGGGGCTGAAATGGAGGAAATATAAGCACAGAAAAAGGAGACACAAAGTCCATATCAGCAGGGCCAAAGTGAAATACAAAACCCCTTCCATGGAGTAGAAACCAAACTGGAGTCACCCAGGGTAACACAGCAGAAAGTAAGTCCAGTCACAATAAAAGTAAAAGCAAAAATCCTTACAGTGTTCTACAAGACATTCATGATATTCCCCCACCCTGTACCCTTTCTGAGCTGCTACCACTCTTCCCCATGAATGCTTGTTTCAACCACATGGGGTTCCCTCCTCTTCCTCAGGCATCCAAGCTTGCTCTCACCTCATAGTCTGTGTGCCTTCTGTTCCTCCTGCCTGGACCCCATACCAATTGGCTAGACTGCTGGAGAATGAGAGACCACATGGAAAACAGATGAACCGTCCCAGCTGAGGCCATCCTAGACCAGCTAGGCCCCGGCCAGTCTACCAGCTGACCATGAATGAGTCCAGTCAAGACCAGCCAAATCTGGTCCAGATCAACAGAACAACCCAACTAAACTGTATCCTCATAAGAACAAAACCCTATAGCTTAGTGGTTTTAAGTCACTCCATTTTGGAATTCTCTCTTACTACAGCAATAGCCAACTGATACAAGAGGCTATACTACTAACTTGTTGTGTGACTCTAACACAAACATTTACTCTGTCTGCAAACTCCTCGTCAAGAAAGTGAGAGAAAAATTTTAATCTTCCCCTTGCCTGACATTTCAGCAATATTTAGCATGGTTGCACACTCCCCTTTTCTGAAACTCTTTCTTCCCTTAGCTGTTATTACACCAAGTTGCATGATTCTCCACTCATTTTTCTGACTTCTTTTCTTTGTTCCTTCTGTAGAATCGTGATCATGAAATATTAAAGTTATTCAAGACTTGGACCTCAGCCCTCATCTCCCTTCACTGTAAATCTCCCAGAGTGAATGCATTCATACCCACGGCTTCATACCCACTGGCCAGATCAGTCCCTGACCTGGGCCTGGGCAAGAAACCCATTTTAATCACACTGTCCTCCAAAACTGGGGTTTGACATCAAAGGAAAAAGGAGGAATGACTCTTAGGTGGACAACTAAGTGTGGCTGATGGCCACACCAGAAATGAGTATCTCGTGTTTAAACTCTGCCTCTCCCTGTAGCCAATTGCCTACCAATTCCTAGGTAGTTTACTTTCTTAACAACTTGTGCTTGAACCTGAATCCCAGCCTCCTACTAGCCAGCCACACCTGGTATCATTTCAGCCAAGCCCACCAATTAAATTCCTACTCACACCCCTTCCACCTCTGCTTGAACCAAACTTCATCAGTTATCCCCTCTCTGACTCGTACCTTGAGCCTCTTACTCTCACTCATTCTCAATCCCACCGTTCAATCTTGACAAATTCTTTTCAGTCTGGAAAAAAACTAAATCCTTCCTGTGACAGATGCTCCCAGTGTCCCACCCGTAGACCCTCAGCTCTTATCATTTTCATCATCTCAGTCCAACTTTCAACTTTGTCTCTTTGCCTGAGGACTTTATCTGGCTGCCAGAGTTTGCTCTCCCCATGCACATGGCCTGCAAATGTGCCTGGGAACGAATGCTTCCCCAGTCCCCAAGGAGCAGAACCTCCACCAAGGACTGGTGGAAATTGGTGGATAAATATCCAAGCTTCCTTGCTCCTCCTGGGAATATCTCTTGCTTGCTTGCACACCCTTTGTTGATTTATGTACTTTGTCGATGTCTCACGTCTTCACTCCTTTACTGGTGTTTCCTGGAATCACCTCCAACATAAACTACTCTCACTCAGTCCTGTTTCAGTATCTACTTGTGAAAGAATGCAGACACCTCCCTCATTGCAACATCTGAGTACTGTGCATACCGCCCAGTCTCTTGTTTCTCTTCCTTGGGCCAACGTGTACACTACACTCATCTCCTTCCCATTCACTCCCAACCTACTGCAGTCTGATTTCTACCCTCAGTGTCTCACCAAAACTGTTTCTATTTTCTCCTAAATAGAGGTCACTCTATTTGACCTCTTTCCAGCTTCCAACATGTTGCCACTCTCTTCTTGCTCCCATGGCTTCATGACACTACTCTCTCCGTTGTTCCTCCTACCTCTCTGCCATCCCTCATCAAGTTCTTTCTCAGCCCCTCAAAACTCCAACTACCCTTTAAACATTGAGAATCCTGAAGGCTCCACCACCCTTGACTGCTTTATCCATGCAGAGCACAATCCCAAGCGTCAGATCTCAACTCCAGCTGTCAATCAAATCTCTCCAGCATGTCCTAAACTCAAATCAGCATCTTTCCTTGCCCCTCCCTAGTTAATGTCACAACCACCCACCCACTCACCCAAGCCATTTGAAATCATCCTAAGCTCCTTCTCCTACTTTGCCCAGGGTGCACGGTTCACCACCCAACCTTGCCAATGCGACCTTCTAAACACCTCTCCTCTTGGTCCAGGCCACCATCATCTCTTATCCAGATGGCTGCAATAGCCACTTTACCAGTTTCTCTGCTTCCAGTGACCCCAATCCAATCCATCCTCTACACAACTGGCAGGGTCATTCCTTCTGAAGCACAAATGTCCACCGCTTCTTCCCCTGTTTACAACCCTTGGATGATCTCACTACTCTCGGATAAGGTTCAAATCCCTTAACAGCTTCCCAGACGCTCCCCAATCTAGTCCCTGACTGCCTCTCCAGCCCCACCTCCCAGCAACTCCCATGCTTTAGCTCCGTGGCTCTCCACCCTGGCTGAACATTAGCATTATCGGGGGGGGGGCGGGGGGGGGCTTTAAAAAAATACCAATGCCTTAATCCTGATTCCCAAAATTATGATTTACATGGTCAGGGATGAGGTGAAGGCATGTATACTTTTTCCAGGCAATTCTAAAGTGCAGCTGGAGCCGAGAGCACTGAACGGCTCAGAGTTCTGCACAGTTCCCAGGCCCTCCCAGGCCCCTGTGCCCACCCAGCCCCACTCTCCCCTCTCATCCCCTTAACTCCGCTCCAGGGAACCTTCCCTGACCCCAGCTTCCCAGCCTGAGCTAGGAGCTTTCCTCCCAGTTTCCAGTCTCCTCTGCTTAACTCCCTCAGAGGATTTATCACACTGAGTATTAACTGTCTGTCCACCTCAAAGAGGCGGTGACCTGGGGTGGGGTCTTCCATCACCGCAACACCACACCTAGCACAGTGGTCCCCCAGTAGGTGACTCACACATGTTTGTTGAATGAATGAATGAATGGTCCTCTGTCCTCTCTGTTCATGAGGGTAGGAACTTTAGTGTCTTTTCACCGCTCAATCCCTCTCCCCTAGTTTCATGCCAGTACACATAGTAGGTGCTCGGTCAATATTTGTTGACTGCATTAACAAACATAAGACATGAAAGATGAGCATCTGCCTCATCCTCATTTTTACAGAAGAGCTCTAGGGAGCAGAGACAAATCAAATTGAACTTCCTACAGTTTTGCTAAAATGGAATTTGCCAAAGACGTCCTGAAAAATGGATTTAATTAGGCCCGTTAATAGGGGAGTCGTTGGTGGCTAAGATTTAAAGCTGAGGCTGGAAAAGGTATCGATAATTTTACCATTTTAAATTATATAGGAGGTTATTTCTCACTCTCGCCCTAATTATAAGAATGCATCTCGATGAAACCTCAGCTTTGGAGGGAAATGAAGCCAAAGGTAGGGGCGAGATTTGATATTTCATCGAAATGACACATGGGAGGTGGCGCAGCAGGAACCCAGCTGGCTCAGCCCAGGTGTGCCCGCCTTGGGGGAGGGGATCAGTGGCACTGCACAGCCAGATCTCATTACATTAACGATCGTCAGTACCACCCAATGTGGCTTTTAATTGCAAGAAACATCCAGGAGAGGGAAAGGTACCACTGTCTCCATGACGAAATGAAATTCTGCATAGGTTTTCAGAGCCCTGTGGATCTCTTGCATTCCATTCTCCCGTCAGGTAGTTTTAGAGATTCAAGCTCTAACTGGTTCCACAATC